AAAAAAAAAACCGTTCAGGGACTTCTTCCATTTACCCCTAGACCGCTGGCTTCTACACCATAGTTACATATCCTTTCCGTGGTCTGGGATGAAAACCAGGTAATCTTTTACTAAGCATTAACACTTACTGATTCATAACTTATTAGAACAATAGCTTCTGATTAGAATTTGCAATTACTAAAGTCATAGAAAATGGCTAGCTAGAGAATTGACTGTTTTAAGATCTGAGAGTGTTACTCCCAGGTTACAGGTTAGTCACAGCGTATGCAAGAAATCTTGGGACCAGGAAATGCCAGTGATAGAGTAGAATAATTCGGTAGGAAAGAAGCAAAGATTTTGGTGGAAAAAATAAGAATAATGTGTGTAATCAAATTTTAATTATTACTCCACTGTGTTTGTCTTTATGGCTCATCTGATCATTTTAATAGGGCCGGCTTCTCTATACTATCTAGCAGTGTTCAGTACCTTCTGCTCAGCCTGCATGCACTCAAGAAAATACAAATTATTAAATATCAAGATGAAAGAAAAAGATGTAACTGGGAACGAAAACCTAATTTTAAAAAATTACATCATGTTTTTCAAAAGCACCTATGACTTATTTTCAAATTGCCTGATATTTGGGATTCTCCATGGATATCCTTTTTTAGGCAGAACTCTGGGAATTCTGATGGCCTCCGGGCAGAATTCTCCCTTCAGTTGTTCCAGCAGAGACCAGCAGTGAAAGAGAAAGGAGAGGACATTACAGAGAGAACTCCAAGGAGTGTCCGCTGCTCAGGCCAGGCTTGTTTATGTCATCGTCTCTACTGAGGTGACAGTATCATCCCTGTGGGAGGAAAGGTTGAATGTAGCAGCCCCAGAGAGGCTAGGACGCACGGCTCATCCTGGAGACATGCACAGGTCTGCAGACCACACCATGCGTGTTCCCGACCTGCCGCCCCAGCAGAGCGCAGTGAACCATCAAGGAGGCACTGGACTGAGCCACAGCTCTGCCGGACGCCCTACAGTGACATCTTTTCCTCTTTCTTACCAGAGGCATTTGGTGTGAAGCGCATCTGCTGAGCTGGCCTTACATGTGTAAAGGCCATGTCACGATGGAGATGTACCTCTTTAAGGAGGAGATGGGAACATGTAGTGACTCCCTGCCACCCCTGCCTTTCTGACAATACCAATTCAGTGACCCTGTGCAGCACTTCCAGGCCCATGTTAAAAGGTGCTTTAGCCTGGACATCCTGGAGCCCCTTTCTCTCAGAGAAAGGACAACGCCAGCATTGACATTGACAGACACAGGTGAAGTTGTCGGGGCCCTAAGATACAGGAACACCTGTCGTGAAGTTTTGAGACCGTCTGTGCTTTTCAGCAAACAAGCCTGCTTAGCAACAGCAGCAAAAAACAGGAAGACTTTATTTTTGCCTTGCCATCAAGACATGAAAAGCAGCTCCGTTTCATTCTTCATTGTTCTCCATGTTGCTTAATCAGATGTGCTTAGTCGTGAGATAAGCATTTTTTTTCTGAACAATAGGTTACTTAGAAATACCATGCACTTAGGGGCAATAATAAACTGCCTCAAAATTATAATATTGGAAAGACTAGATATCATCTAAAGATGTATGTGAAAGACATACCATTAGAGCCCTAAATAATGTGACATTAATATATAACACATACTAACATTGCTATGTGTGCATTAACACATACGTGTATATGTGACTAGTGACATGGGCCTCTAAGCACATACAGGTGTATAATACGTGCCTGTATGTGAATCCTACACACACATACACACGATGTGGGCCTTATTCTATTAGTATGGCCATAATTATAATAAGAATACTAGAAATGCTGCTCAGAAGTATGGACTTTAAGAGTCTGGCCAGAAATTTTGAATCTCTAAAAGAGTTAACTTTAAAAATATAATTTTGAGCAGCACCTGTTGCTCAAAGTAGTAGGGCGCCAGCCTCATATACTGGAGGTGGCAGTTTCAAACCCAGCCCCCGCCAAAAACTGCAAAAAAATAAATAAAAATATAATTTAGGGTTTGAGGCTTGGTGCCTATAGTTCAGTGGTCAGGGCACCAGCCATGTGCATCAGAGCTGGTGGGTTCAAACCCGGCCTGGGCCTACTAACAACAATGACAGCTACAGCAAAAAAAAGCCAGGCATTATGGCATGCACCTGTAGTCATAACTACTTGGGAGGCTGAGGCAAGAGAATTGCGTAAGCCCAAGAGTTTGAGGTTGCTGTGAGCTGTGGCGCCACCACACTCTACCCAGGGTGACAGAGTAAGACTCTGTCTCCAAAAAAATAAAAAAATATATATATATAAAATTTAGGGTTTGAATCTTCCCCCCTCAAAAGAGACTGACATTTAAAGCAGTCTCAAATTGCTCTTTTTTTTTTTTTTTTTTTTTTGAGACAGAGCCTCAAGCTGTCCCCCTGGGCAGAG